TTAAACATTTGACAACATGGATATCTGCTGTATCTGTCCTGATTTTCTGGAAGGGAAGTCTGCTTGTCACTGGATTTCCAAGTACCACCATGGCAGCTGGGTTTCTGGGAGCACAGACAGAGGCTGCATAAGTCATGCAGGTGCTTTTCTTAAATTATAAAAGCTGGTTATAAATGGAAATCGTCTCTAGGTTACGTATGTAACCTAGAGACGTTCCCCTTCAGGAACTCGAGCTTCGTCTAAGTCGCTGAAGAGCAGAAGCTGGTTTGTGCTCTGCCGGATGCGCTTTTATACTTTCTGGTGCTTACGTCACCCCGCTCGTGACGTCTCGCTACTCCATTGGACTGATTTGACACGTGCTTCAGAACGCGGTCACGCAAGGGCGTTCCCAAAGCGACTTCGACGCAGCTCGAGTTCCTGAAGGGGAGCTGCTTCTAACACCCCTCTCGTGTGATTGTAGACACCTTCTGTAAAAACCCCCAGTTTTGGCTGAGGATTAATGAGTTTGATAAGGCCTGCGAACAGGGCCAGAACAATGTTCTGGTGACTCTCATACAGAAACCTGACAAGAGACACAGACGCCACTCTGCACACCATGGCATCGGCTTCTACGTATTTGCAGTCAGTATTAACAAAAAAAGCAATACATATATTTGTACTGTGCATGTATGATGTCTTTGTGTTTGAAGTGTAACCTTTTTTTTTTATTTTGAACTTTCACAGATTCCACCTGAGGCAAGTAAAATATATAAATTATATCACAGTTTCTTGTGTTAATCACATTGGTTTAAAACAAATGCACTGTGCGTATTTCAGGTTGTATCAATACATATTACATTATTTGTTATAGGCTACTTTTCTGGCACATTCATTTTAGATGTTCAGGGAAATAACATTTTGAATCATTATCTGTTAGATGAAATCTGAGGGAAAGCTTGGATCAAGCTTTTTCCATGGAAGAAAGCCTGTGGTAACAAGCGAGCCCTTTCAACGTGCAAGACAGGTGATGAAATTCTTCAGACTAGAGCCGGGAGAGTATCTCATCGTGCCATCCACATACCATCCCAATAAGAGTGGAGAATTCATCCTGTCCATTCTCTGCAAAAATGAGATCCACATTCAGTAAGTTGCATGAAGGACGGATAGACTGACTTTTTATTTATGCTTGGAAAAATATGGTTAATTTTTTTTTCTTTTAGAAGGGACACAGAAAGAATGGAGAAAGATTTTCTTGTGGATCTTTTAGACAGGTCTGAGGTAATAATACACAGAATCATTGTGTAAAAGTATTAATATTCGCTTGTTTGAGTTTGTCAATGTGCAATCAGAGGATTACACACTGAAATCATTCATCTTTCAGCAAATCTGCAATTATGGGCAGCTAAATCCTGTTTTTGTCCTGTTTTTGTTAATGCACCTTTAAGATGGAAATAAGACCAGATATTATATCTCTGGACTCTAAACTCTATTTATTTATGTATGTATGTATGTATATTACTGATGAAACAGTTCAGTTCTAGTTGTCATTTTAGCAGTTTTCTCTTCATTATCTTTTCTCATGTTCAGGTCCATTACACTGAAGAAGTGGATGAAATATCAAAAACTAAAGCACTGTTTCGGCAATATTCTGATCAAGTAAATATGAAAGCTAATATCTTATCAAAAATTACATTAAAAACCACAGCTGCTGTGCTTAAAAATATAACAAGCTTCAAGCTCTTTAATGTCTTCTTTGGAAACAGTATAAAGTTGTTGATGCTGAGAAGCTTCAACGGCTTCTTCATGAAAACCTACTTGAACGTGAGTGTTTTAAAAATCCTGTCCATTCTATGTGCAATATACTGTCTGTAGCTAGTTTTGAAATCTCACAAATGTATCTTTTGTGACTTATACCATTTAGGGCATAAAAACCCTGAAGGATTTGGCCTGGATTCCTGTAGAGGTATAATAGCCATGTCAGATGTATCCTTCATTATTTAAGCATGTAATTAAAAACATAAATAAAATTTTTTTGAATCATGATGATTTATCTCCCAGGTTCAGATGTATTTGCGGTCATATTGTAAAGAAACATGTTTTAGCTCTAGACATTTTCCATGACTGTAACAATAACAATAGTTCAATGTGACTGGAAGACTCTGCGGACCAGAATTAATTCGTCTCTGGAACCATATTTTGACATACAAGGTAAGTGGATTTGAGTGAGGAATTTAGCTATGGATTTTTATTGTATTTAAACAAGAAATGTAGCTATGTATTGAGTTATATTAAGATTTTTTCCCAGTTTTTATGAAGAATAATTTTTCAAGATTTTTTTTTTTTTTTTTACAGAATATCTTCTACAGCATGGATTCTTCCAAAGATGGTGTTCTGTCTTTCAACGAACTGCAAAATGCATTAGAGAAAACAGGTTGAGACTTATACAGTTTATGCTTTGCTCTGGTGAACCGTTGTTGAAAATATTGTAATTTTCTTAGTAGTAGGTTAGTGTTCAATATTTGCATTACCTTTAATATCACTGTAAATGTTAGAGCCAGCATAGTAGCCACCCTCTGTGTCCAGTGACCCATAAAACCGAACACAGGGGTATTGATATAATATTGATATAACATGTTCATTCACACATTGCAAATATACTGTATTTACTGTATGTCATGGTTATTGTACCCTAGGCCTGCATTTAAATGAAGACATCCTGAATCTCATGTTTGTGCGGTATGGTGGTGCTACTGAACAGATCTCTCTGGAGGGTTTCATATGCCTTGTCATGCGCTTGAACTGCATGGCCAGTGAGTAGCACTCCAGTGTACTGGACAGAAACTGTATATACTGTATATATATATATATAGAAAGTTTTTGTTCCATACTTTCATGCCCCTGAGCTACATACTCCTGGGTATTATGTTTTGGATTTATTACATATGAACAATCTTTATTCTTTTCATCAGGAATATTCCAGAGACTGTGTGAAAACAGAAAGATAACTCTTGATGAGAGTGAGGTAATCCTTGTGTAAAAATTTTTTTTTTCATATTTCCAAACACATACACGTGCTTAATAGTTCATACATTTACAACCTGTTTGTGTGTATCTGTGTTTTAGTGGATAGGACTCACCATGTACTCATGAGGGAATGTTTGCTTGCCAGGAGGATTGCCAACAAACGCAAGAAGCAGTGTGAAAAGAAAATATCAGTTTGGAGATCAAAAACAATCAGCGATTTAGGCAATCTAAACATTTCTTTCTTTTCTTTATTTTTTAACAAATTGTGATGGTTATATGGCTTTTCTCTTTTTCTTAAAATTAATTTGATATACCCATTTTATATGATCAAACTGTTTGTAGTAATTGCAAAAAAATCTGTCTATTTTGACTGTTTGAAAAGTTATGCATGTGATGTATGTATTTCTCATTGTACACACTTAGAGTCACTGTTGGTGTAAAGCAAAGCATATGCAAGCAGATGCTATTTTAATACGAGTTTTGATGTTATTGTGCTTGTGAAGTAAGACTATTTCTCAACACAACATCGTATATGTTACGGGGCTGACAAGACATGAGACATGCGGATCCATGTGCAAGCTTTTATTGAAAGCAGAAGAGGTCAGAAACACAGGCAGGGTCGAACAATGGCAAACAGGTATATGGCGGGCAAGACACAAGAATAATCCTAGGGCTAGCGTGGGTCTTCGATCGGCAAACAGTATCCAGAGGGCTTGACAAGAGGGGTAATCCGTAAACGCGAGCAAAAGTCCAGGTGAGGAGCAAACACAGTCCGAAAACGGCAAGCAAAGGGTCAATCCAAGATACGTGGCAAGAATCAGGAACCAGGGAAACAGGCAAGGCAAGACGATGACTAGACTATGCAAGCTAGAGCAGGCTTCGTAAAGTAGCTATCAGCTATCACAGTGATAAATGCTAAACAATACTTGGCCGTTGAAAGGAGTGAGATTGAGTGTTAAATAGTGAGTGAGTGATATGAAACAGCTGTGTGCAATCAGTGCTGTGTGCAATCAGTGCAATGAATGATGGGATATGTAGTCCGGGGTGCTATGCAACAGTGTGTAGTGCGAGAGTCAATGAAAATGGAAAGGGTGACCTCTGATGGCTAGCAGACGGAAGTTCATGGACCGGATACGTAACAGTATAAGGGGACTTTAGGCCACATGTAGGTCTACAATACATGGAAAGATCTATCTATTTGCAGTCATTTTCATCTAAATGACAGATGCTTCGGCTCCTGCAGAACTTTGAAACATGATTGACATGCCAGGAAATGTGTTTTGGTGTCAGTTTGTGTCCATTGTTTGTCTGATATCAGCCACATTGATAACATCCACACAAGAGAAAATATTCAGCTGTCTTTTGAACATTTCTAATGTATGCTGAACTCTATTTTTAGATATAAACTATTGATTTTAAAAACACTCTAATGAAAATTGTTCTAATTGTATAAATAGCTATATGGATTTAATTACTTTGTCTTTAGCTTGTAAATTTAGTGCTTTAGTGTATATTTAGTGTAAGCATGACTTTTTTTAATTAGTAATATTTTCAACTCAAAAGTAAATATGTAAATAATGTGGTTATTTCAATACATTGTAATTTCTTATTTTGTTAATGAACACTGTGATTTTATACATAACAGCCTCATTTTCATATCTGACAAAAATTTAATATGTTTGCCTGTTGCCTACGGTCTTTTGCCTGTGTTGTTTTGCTATCGCCTTCTAAAGAATTATCTGATGACAAATGATGTCACAAATGATGAAACATTCAAAAACATTCAAAGTAGCTGGCTGGTTGTGCTGTTCCTTAAAGGCAGAGTAAGTGATTTCTGGTAGCCAATGTTGATATTTGAAATCACCAAAACAAACACGCCCCTACCCCAAAAGGGTCTTGCCCCTATTTTGATAGCTCCGCCCCACATATACGTAAGCAACCCAGGCAACGATTAGTTCTGTGAAACAAAGCAAAACCAATATTGTCGCGGCGCGACAAAGTGTTTTTGAAAAATCACTTACTCTGCCTTTAATGTGCAGTTACATTTACCTTTGCTCGTGAACATTTCATATCGTCAGTCCTGACAAAGTCATAACATATTTTTTAAATCTCAAAATGTGCAGATTTAAGCAACTGTAGATTGTGAATCTTGCTGTTTTGTTAAGCGTTTTGTGGGGGATGTTTGTATAAGTGAAAGGCAAATGTTAGACTATTATCTACTTTAGTCAGTCTTTGAAGGAGATCGAGTTTGGAATGTTGTAATTCTGGACCATGACGTCACATACTGTAGGTATGAGGCATTTTAATATTCTTTACACACTGTCATGCTTTACCTTATGAAGTCGCCTGAATTGCAGAAAAAAAAAACAATCTCTACACAAAGTAAGGGGTGGGATGAATAGCAAAAAGAAAAGAAAATAGTATTCCACATGTGTCCAGCACACAACCAGACACAGGGAGGAAAAAATGGTCTTTTACCGTAACTTTCTGACCAACCAGATTCTTGCAGGTGTGATGTATATCTTCCTTTTATCCTTTTAATTAATTAATTTTAACTAATCCACTTTCAAAAATTAATTATGCATTAAATATTTCTTTTTGTTAAAACATGATTAATAGAAGAACACTAAATAAGCTTTAAAACAGTTGTAACTTTTTTTAGTTTTAACTTTTGCTTTATTGTACTGATACTTGAGTATTGTAACACTCAGTAACAGAGACAGGATAATATGAAAGTAGACAGTCACAGCTCAATTTAGGTAAATAACAAACTTTTTAAATATGAAATGTGAGACCTTTTTTTCATATATTGTGATGAGGGTTCTCCTACCAATCCTGTTAAGTTCTATCAGAAAGACTCAGAGGGAAGGTAAACGTTTACATGGTATTTATTCCGTAAAGTGTTAACGGATGTTGGTGAGTGAGTTACAATAATTAGTGAATAGTTGTATAGAAAGATTCTTTGGCATAGGCCCCGTCCTTTGTCCAAATCCTGGGGATGCAGATTTGGCTGATCCTGCCTGAAGATGAAGGCAGGGGCAGAGCCTACCCCTATGGATGGACAGGGCCAACCTGTTGGTGGTGGTGGGGAGGATGGAGGGGAACGTCGGCGACATCAACTGCGAAAATGAAACAGAGTTCAGTGCTTATATACTCCAGGTGTCAAGCAGTGATTGGCCAGATCTGTTAGTATGAATGAATGACGTGTCATTGGAGTCTTCCTGACAAAATTTGCACTGACGCTTCCATTTCCTGGGCCAGGACTTTGATGATTCTGTCTGAACAGAAACTAGTGTCACCTGGTAAACCATTCTTCACTATTGATGGAATGTCCAGGCTTGATTACAAACAAGGGTCCAAACTGGGTAAATTTGGGTTTATTTGAATACAGTATGAAATGGGTTCTATAAGCGGTCATTATCTCAGTTTCTAAGTAGCATTACACATAAATCAAAATAACCATGTCTCCTCGTCTTTTAACCTCAAAAGATGAAGAGACATAATTTATGACGAAAGATACAGTATCATAATTCAAGTCATTCCAGCTGGTCAGACACTCAGCAACAATTATGTACGCATGTTTCACTTCAGGGTTTAATACCTATTTGATATCAGAATGTTTATGAATCTGTAAATTAATTTGATGATTAGGAAAGCACAATTCCTCTTTTTAACCCTTACCCTTTTTCCTATATATTTGTCTCTGTGTGTAATTTGTCTTTGTAACGTAGGGAGGCGACAACGGAGTTGGAGGATCCAAATGCAAGGCTTTATTCTAAAGAGTGTGGTCAAAACAGGCAGGGACAAAATACCGCAAAACAGTTACATACAAGGCACATGCAAAAGAGCAATCCACAAAACAGGCAACGATCAGGGTAGGCAGCAAACAATGAGAATCAAGGAACCAGTCAAGGGTCAAAAACTCTAAGGCAAGGCAAGAAAACAAGGAACTAGGAAAACACATGAAAAACTCAGCCATGTGTGTGTGAAAGTGTCTGACTTAAATAGTCCTCCTGATAGGAAATGGGAGGAGTCTGAGATTAGTTCCTAGGCAGGGGTTATGGGAAATTGAGTCCGGGATGGAGGTCTACTCCAGGTAGAGACTGTGACGATCTTACAGTTCTGGCGATTTGGGAAATGGATTGATGTTGTCATTGATGATCTGCTTCCAACAATTGATGACAAGCTCATTTTTGTGGGTTCAAAAACATCTAATGAGTTTTGGCCTGCCTTACTGGAGAAAGCTTATGCAAAGTAGGTGCCAGCAGATGCTGTGACATAAAGACGGAATTAATTTATTGATGTCAAGCTCATTTTTGTGGGTTTGAAAACATCTAATGAGTTTTGGCTTGCCTTACTGGAGAAAGCTTATGCAAAGTAGGTGCCAGCAGATGCTGTGACATAAAGACGGAATTAATTTACTTATTGTTTCTTGTCTCTAGAATATTGATGTGTGAAACGTATGCATGATCTTAACTTTGATCTGTCCCTCTTAATAGATTTGTATGTTGTTGTGAGAAGGAACACTGTAACATCTATAAACATTGACAGTGCTCATTACATCATATTCACTACATTACAGAATGTCTGTGACATTGTAGCATTTACACAGCACCATAAAATTGTTCTGACTTTACAGGGTGTGCGGATCTTACGCAGACCTAGATGGCGGATTCATGTCTGAGCCCTGATGGACTTCATTGGTGGGCTGCACATGCAGTTTGTTTTGAATGAAGCTCCTGCTTATCTGTGGGACATTATGGATCATGGAGCCAATTCACAAACCCTCATGGGCTGTGCTTCTTATCATGGGGTAAGACCTCTCATAATCCTGGATTCAATGCTTCATTGACAAATACTGTTGGCTTAAACCAATGATATAGAGATATATGTACTTAGGATTTACCAAAGTGCTTCTAAGAACTGAGAGTCATGACCCGAATCAGACAGGTGGAGTTATACAAAAGTTCACTCTTGAACATTGCTCGACCAGTCAGATTCCAGGACCAGAGATGCTGTAATATAAAAAGGCTAGTTAAAAAAAAAAGAAAGAAAGAAAGAAAGAAAATTGTTTCGTCATTTACTCACCCATAAGACTTCCATTCTTGAAACACAAATTGTCTATATTTGCAAGTAAGACAAAAATAATAATTTGCATGCTGTGAAACATATTGGCCAACATTTTTTTTCTGTGGCAAATGTGAAGGATTTCAGTTTCTCAGGATAACAAAGACTCAGATGATCTTCTGCCAAACAATTCTTTGTTAACAAACATATAAATAGAAA